TGCCAGCCGCTGTCATTGCGACAAGGAGACGATTGAGTCGCCCAACAGCGATGGATCATGGAACGGTACGGTGGCGCCGGACGGTATACACCAGGACGTTTCCGACCGTCCACGAGCCAAAGCCACCAAGAGCATGAGATTTACAGGGCCAGAGTGCGCACGAGGCTCACCCAGACCGACTGGCTGACGGTAGAGCGCACCTTTGGCCACGACACTGGCGGCATCACGTGGCACGACTGGTGCAAGCTTGTCACGCACATGGGCTTTCAGATGCAGCCGATGGGCGGCTCTATTTTCAAGTTCACCTACACCAGCGCCAGCATGCTTTTAAATGGCCAAGGCCAGGCAGGATGGAGGGACCATACGACCCTTCACATGCAGCATGGGTCGGGCAATACCACGCTGAGGCCCCAGGTGGCGCGCAGCTATGCCACTCGCTTCTATGCGTCGTTCGGTGTAACGAGGGACACTATTGCTGAAGCATACAGCACCCACGCCGATCCCGACCCCGAGCCAGACGCCGAGGAGGATGTCGACGAGTCGGATGGCGAGCGCAAGCGGAACAGGAAGCGGAAGAGACAGAAGGAAAGGTTTGACAGGTGGCTGAAGGCGCAGCCTCCAGTCGGTCACGGTGGTAATGGGCCACCAGCCAGGCAATTGGAGATCCCCATGGTCATGCTCGATGCAGACATCGAGGATGGGCCGGACGACGAAGATGGGGGCGAGGAGGAGGCTACCGGACTAGCCGCTCTCGATATCAACGCCAGGATGGCCAGGATGCACGCCGCGCGCGAGGGCGGCTATCTGTCACGTACGGAACAGGGGCGTGAGGGGGAGGAGGACTACGATGAGACGGTCGACGAAGAGCTTGCAGAATCTGACGAGGTGGATGGGTCACCTCAAGAGAACGTTGAAGAGAAGTATGAGGATGAGGAGACAGATGAGGAGGAACGCCCACGAAAGAGAGTGCGATTCAGCTCGGCGACGGGCTGACACATTCGCAGCATACGCTGTCTTCCGCAACATGAGTAAAGCGATGACGATTCGGACAGTTTTTTTAATTTACAACGTATTACAATATGTGCGCTGGGTCCCTGTCTGGATGAGGTCATAAAGTCTTTGTATTCCAATTGATCGAAAGCCCCTTTCCCCTAAAATCTCTTAGTAAACGCCAGTATCATAAAAGTGTTGCCCTTTCCCGTGATCAATTTTCGACTAGACGCCGCTCAGACTGCGAAGAAGACCGTATTTCTCACCCCATTGTCGTCACGGCTGTACACGCTCGACGTCGCACGCGGCCGATTCGGCGGCGGTGGCAGATCCCCCATCTGCGACAGCGGGGAGACGGGTCGCAGCCACAGCATCGGTTGCTTCAGCCGTGGCCGGCTGGCCATGGGCTGTTGGCGGCTTGGAGCTCGACTGAAGACTGTGCAGAAGAGCAGGGAGGCGGCTGATAGGATGATGATGGCGAGGGCGCCAAAAGCGACGGCGATGACATTGGCGCTGTGGACATCCATTGCGTGGCTCTCTTCTTGTCTCGTTCCAGGGCACGGTAGGCAAGGAGAGGAGGGGGGCTGGGATCGGCGAAGGCGGGAATGAGGGCGAGGGAGCGAGGGAGGGTGCTGTCCTCGGTTTCTTGGGCTCTCGCTCGTGCCGTGTCTGTCCCCGTTTCCTGTGAACAGATCGAATCCCCGTGCTCACACCCCGGGGCCGCATCGTCTTATACAAGTGTCCCAACGCCGCAGATCAAGGGGTGTCGATGAGGTCAGACTTTCCCGGTCAGGGGCAAGCCTTCGACGAGGTGTGCTGTCGCATCGCGAAACAGACAGCGTCGACGACAGCCAGCGGTCATCCGTCAGCAGCGTTTCTTCTCCTCCTTGCTGTAACAGCTAGAGCTGTTGACGTTCAACGCCACCCTTTTTTCTTTGTCTGAGAAGGGGGGCAGCACACGTTCTACTGGTTGTGCCGTCCGCGGCGTTCACGGCTCAGGGGTGAGCGGGATGCCGTCCGTTGCCAGCCCCTGGCTGAATATGGGCATCGGGAACGAGTTCTAAGTACGCCCGTACGGGTCATCGTCTGCCTGTGGAGAGGGGGTTGGGCGTGGTTGGTTTTCTGTCGTACGGACCCCTTTCGACGTATCGACCAGTTCATCGGCCACTGCCTGCGAATGTCCAGGCCGTCAAGCCAACGTAGCTCTCGTCCCTGAGACATGAGGTGGAACTTAACCAACCATCGTGGTCATGGTAGGTCCACCACGGATGCCAGCAACCTTTTCAGACACCCAGGCAAGCGGGTTGCAAAACAAAATGAGACGTACTAAGTCCTTCACCGCAGCCCATCTACCCAAAAGGACTGCACAACACTACTGCGAGACAGCTACCAGATCTAGAATCATAGTGGTTATTGAATACATAGATCAGTGTGCTATGCTCAATTTCAAAAGACGGCTTATTCCGTAGAAGGAAGTTCTGGGGTCGTTGTAGAAATGCAAGGGCCGGATAACTGGGAAGAGGGAATGGTTATGGGGGAGGGACTCAGTACGTCGCATTGTTTTTGCAACCCTCTTGCCAGGATGCCCCAAATCGCATGCGAGGCATACATCTAATGGGGTGGAGCAACAGCGGGAAGCGTACATCAGCGGCGAAGTAACAGCGATAGCCAGCGGGAACATTGGTAATGATCGTATTATGATTAGAGGCTCTCTACCTCGTGTTCGACATGGACAGACCGGCCTGAGCCTCAGATCCGGTTGAGAGGAGTATTGGGGAGATAAAAGAAGGGTATAATGCTATGTGCAAATCAAAACGCAAGCCCAAACCAGTACGCAGACCCAGGAACAATTCATCCACATTCCGCTTTCCGCCCGCCGTCTCGTCCTTCCGTGTCTCCAGAACCCTTCACTCATGAAACGTCCTCATCCCCGTAGAGCCCGTCAATCATCTATCCTAATCCATCAAACCGCCACGCGCCATTCTGTGTAAGAACAAGCTGTAAATATGCCCAAAGTAGCCTCCAAGAGAAATGAGAGAAAGAAAAAAAGAATTGCAAGGATAGAGCATGACATTCAAGAAGGAAAAAGTGGCATGGCGCCACGCAAACAGAGACTCTAGACAGCGCACAGACATGTTGACATGGTCACGAAGTCCAATGATAGTCCGTCCCGTGTGCTGCGCTAGGTGATGAGTTGTCGTGGTAAAACCACGCCACGGGGGTCGCAATGCTGATAGAGAGGTGGGATGTGCATGGGTCAGTGTGCTGCGCGCAGAGGAGAACGCGGCCAACGTGTGAGTCTTTCGAGGTTTCCATGCCGATGAAATGATGGCGTGGGGGGGAAGGAGTCTTTGCACCGCCCGAGGGTCGACGCGTCGCGCAACGCAAACCTGATCATGGTAGACGTTGATCCCGTGGCGATACTAGGCCTAGGCTGTAGTGCAAGGGGGGGCAGCCATCCGCGCCATGCGATGGTCCTAGGGCATGCAGTGGACGGGTGATTGACGCAGATGATGGGCACTGCCGGACTGGTGCTGCAGTAGGAGGGAAGGTAAGGAGGGGGTCCGTCCAACCAGAAGACCCCCTCCTTTGGGCAGATCACCAGATCATCCCACCTGCAGCGGCAACCCCAACCCAGGGAGCCCATGATTGAAAGACCGGCCTATCAAATGGCCATCGGAGCAAAAATGCTGCGCCCGGAACGAGTCGGATCTGAAGAGATCGGCGGATTGTGCATACGCATGCCTCAAGCCCAAGGTTGTCGTTTCGAATGGCGGCAGTTGATGGCGAAGGGGTGTGTGGCGCGCCTGGGACCGTCCATGCTGAAGGCCATGGTCGAGCCAAGGTTTTCCTGACAATGTAAACAACGTGTGGAGCATTCGGTATGCAGTACCAGGAATGACCCAAGAGGCAAGGGTGGCCGTGGCGACAAGACGGGAGCGAAACGGGCGGCGGCGATGGTGGTGATGATGATGGAGGACGGGCAGCGAGGGCTGGTGACTGCTATATCGGGACGTGGTGGAGGTCGATGACGCATTCCCATTGGTTTGCGCCTCAACCAGCTGACTCGCCCACTCACACCGCTGCCATCTCGAACCCCTCCCCGAGCTCCCTCCTTATTCTTTCGCAACGTCGAACATTGAACACCCTGGCCCTACTCTTGCGACCTTGCCGTGCCGTCGTTTGGGTGTGTGCTCTGGCTCACGCGAGCATCAGCGTTCGTTCTCTATGACTCACTTGCCGTCACAAGGCTGCGTGAGATGTCGCACCTCCCCAGTAAGCTCAGCATGGGACAACGGCGCGGCGCGACGGAAGCTTACTAGGCCCGCTGCGCCCCGTCGTTGTACCCGTTGGAACTGTAGACCTGCGGGTGGCTGGGACCGTGGTGTGCACTGATCGGTTGGTACTGCTCAGCATACGTCGCCGGCGGGTGCATTGAGGGCATCGCCGACGGGTCCCAGCGACCGGGTGCTGTTGGTGCTGTGGGCTGGTGCACAATGGAGGAGTGCATGCTCGGTCCGGGATAGGCATGCGGTGCCATGGGTCTCGAATCGTACGCGGAGACGCCTGGGAGTGGACCCGACAGCCGTCCGGAAGATTGACGAGGCGACCCTGTCGTGAGCGCTGGTGACAAAGCACGAGAGTGCGCTGGGGCACCCGTGTAGGTCGGCCAGTTGTGGTTGCTGCCCGAGAGAGATCGAGGTGAGGTCAAGGTATCATGATGATGCATGTGGGCCTGTACCCCGTAGACGTTGACTCCATCAGAAGCCACCGTCGGCGCGGGCGGAGTCGGCAGCGCCGGGTACGAGCTGACGGGTGCCGGCGTCAGCATCTGCCCTGAGGGCAGCGTCGACGAGGGGCTCGCGCTGTACTTTCCAATGATCTTCTTGAGCGCCGACTCCAAGATCTTCCAGGGAAACACCTTGACGTCCTTTTCAATGTTTCGCGGCTTCGGGTTGGGGAAAGCCATGATTATCTGAAGAACTCCT